GCACCCTCCCACAGGTTTGACTGCCCACCCCACAAAATGGAGAAGAGGAAGCTCTGGGTTGACAGGGGCCATGCAGTGGTGACAGCGGGTCATGGGGTCTTGTGTCAGAGTTCCCCACTCCCACCTCCAGCCCCAGTGAGGTGGTGCATTCCCAAAGCTGCTGATGATGTTGTTGCCCTGGTTGCCACACTGGGTCTAGCTGGTTGCTGAGCCAGGTCTGGCCCTTCTGGCTGAGCGGTCACTCCTGCTCGTCGGGTCTCTGCCTCAGCAGCCGGGCGTTGCTGCCCAGGCTCTGCTCCACCAGCCGCATTTCTGACCCACTGTGGGCAGAACCAGCGGGATTTACAGAGCCACCCCAATCCCCATGCTGGCGTGGTGCTGTTTGTGTCCCCCCCGACACTCCCACTCGCGTATCAGGGCATGGTGGCGAAGCTTGTCTTCTTGTCGGCGGGTCCTTGGGGCAAAAGTCAGCAGCCTTATTGTGTGGGGGCAGAAATGAACTCTGGGGCTTCCCTCGAGGCAGGGAGAGCCAAGGCACAGAGGAGGCAGCGCTCAGAGCTGCTGCGTGGGAGAGCAGCACAGAAGGAGGGAGAGGAACAACTGGTAGTTCCAGGGAAGGGCTGGGCAGGACCTGGACTGGGACAGCCAGGGCAGTCAGATGGGATCAGGATGGGTAGGAAAGGGCTGGAGGAGACCAGGAGCAAAGCAGCAGGGGAAGGAATGGACGAGATTGGGAAAGGAGGGATGGGAAGGGGTAAGACTGAGCTGGGGGAGTGAGCCCTGGGGTGAGGTCTTTGGGGAGAGTCAGTCTTGCTGCTGGTGGGAAGGAGACGGGTCCCGTGTGACCGGCACACCAGCTGGCACCACGGGGACCTCCCGCTATCGAAGCAGTTTTTCTTTCCTGTGTTTTTTCTTGAAAACTCGCCTGCCACATGTATGCAAAGCAGGGGAGTGGTGCTTCGTCAGCTGCCAACAACCCATCCCATTCCTGCCTGTGCCGCTGCCTTGGGCAGGCTGGCACGGCGCAGGGCTTACCTCGAAGCGCCAGAGCCCCCCGATGTCCCCACTCCTCTCGAAGCAGGTGGGTACCAGCCCCTCATCCAGGCAGCATTTCAGGGCGCACAGGCCAGAGGCACCGGCACCGATGATGGCTACTCTCTGGGCAGCCATGTCCCACGGTGTGGTGACAGCAGGGATGCAGGGGAAGCCTTGGCTGAGGTGACACACACTCGAGGGTGTGCGGAGCCTGGCAAGTCACACCGGGGGAATGAGCAGTGCCTCTCAGTTGGGGATGGCTGTCCCTGTGCTTCCTGTGCTTGACTGAGATCAGCTGGGGTGTCACAAGGTGTGCTTCTTCCAGACATGATCTACAGGTTCCCCCCGCTGCCGTGCCACACCTCCTGCCTGTGCCCGCCCTCCGCAAGGGACTCACCAGCTTCTGTAAGAGCTCAACGATGCCCACGCTGCTGCGGGACTTCTTGGGTGCGGGGGCCGAGATGTGGCCACGGTCCAGATTTTGTCAGGTTAGTGGCATGGAAAACAAAACTGGGGGGATGCTCAGGGCACTGGTGGCCGGCAGCTGTGACAGCTATGGCGTGTGATGGCCTGGACCCCCCTGTCACCATTCCAGGTCCCCAACCCACCCAGCCAGCCTCCGGAGGGGTGGTGTGTACGTGACGAGGGTGGCACTGAGCCATGCTGCTGTGAGCGCCGTGACTGGCTGCAGCGGGGCACGCCTGGGTGAGGCCGTTTT